TGAAATTTTAAAAAAATTAAATTTTATAAATTATAATATATAATAAATTAATAATAATAAAATATTAATATACTATATTAGTAATATACTAAATACTATATTAGTAATATACTAAGCAGAAGTTATATACTCAATATAATATATTATTTTTATATATTAATATTAGAGATGTCAAACTGACTCGTCGTTCGCAAACAACTCATGCTCGGCTCGTGTTCAACTTGTTTGTTAAGAAACAAACACGAACAGTTAATTCACGAATAAGTTCAAACACGAGCTCATTTCACACAAATTAAATTTCAAATTAACCGAACACGAACATAAACTTTGGCTCTGTTTGGCGCAGCTGCAGCTGCGCTGCCCCAGGAAGTTGCTGCGGGGAAGTTGTTGAGGGGAAGCTGGCTGTTTATTTGGTGCTGCTGTGTGAAAATAGCTGTGGGTCAGCTATTTCTGAAAAAATGACCACGCTGCCCCTGTTTGCTAAAAAATGTTTAAAAGAAGACTATAACAACCACATTTTTAAAACTTCAGAAGCAGAAATTCATTTATAAACATAGCACAAAGTTCAAATATACCAATGAATTAATAATGAGCAATGAGAAAATCATAAACTGTACAACCAACTTAAATAAAATAAAAAGCATATAACAGTAACAATGCGAGCTCTATTCTCCAGTAAAAACGTAAAAACAAAGAATAGGAAAAGAAAAAATGAATGTTGAAATTTCTAGGAGCACACTTCAATGAGAAAATCATAAACTGTACAATCAACTTAAAATAAGGCAAAACAACAAAGGATCATCCCTTGTAGCTGAAAAGAAATATAACCAAGTAGGTATGACATTACATGCTCTTAAGATTACACTTAAGAATCTAAGAGAAAAAAAGATAAGAACGTATTTCAACTATTGTCTCGCTCTTGACAGTTTAGATGTTAGATATGTAAATACATAAGTATATTGTGGCATTCTTTTGGAGATTGTCTAATGACCTTAAAACATTAATATCATAAACCAATATTCAACAATCAGCTCCCCTATAGAATGCAACGACAATCAGCTCTCCTGTAGATTGAAATTAGACACCAAAAGGTGAAGGAAATGCTTAAAAAGTAAAAATGATTGAAATCGGAGGTAATGTTGCGGGAAAAATTCGGGATCAAGGAAGAGAATGAGACATTGCAGCAAGACTCTTACCATCTGTCCCCTAGAACAATGACCTTGATCAAGGTCTGTCTTCTCGAGGCCATGGCGAGAAGGAGTAACCACCTAACGAGGGCAGACACTTGGATGCGCACTCGAGAGCGATGGAGAAGTATAGGTGGAAGAGGCAGACCGAAGAGACTGCGACAAAAAGGAGCTCTGCGGGCCAACAAAGGTTGTTCAAAAGGGTTCGAGCGTCGCAGGACGTGACCTTATAGAGGATCTCCACCGACGGGGAACGAAAGGGGCAATCACAAATAGGAGGAATGGGAGGGCACCTGCGTAAAATGTCGAAGGAGCAAAGCGGGGACGCGGGAGCGAAGCGGGGCCCCGGGGTCGATCCCACGGCCCGCTTTTCCCTCAGATTCGTGGCCGACGCAACTGAGACATCGCGCCAAACGAAGCTTTTCTGCGGCCTTCCGCCGCACCACGAAGGGAAAATCGCCCCAAATGGAGCCTCTATTTGTTCGAGTTAAGTTCGCTTACACCCTAACACGCAGTTCAATTCAGCACACGCGCTTTCGCCTCTTTTCTCTCTACCCATATTAACCTTCCAGTTTCCGCAGTAAAAATCGGTGCTTTACCTGAAAATCAAAATACAATCATCATGTGGGCTTCAATTATACCCCTCCCTCCTCCCTCCCTCCTCCCTCCTTCCAGTCACGCAAATGGACTCACCGCGGGAGCACTGTTGCTATCCTGCTAACTCCCTTACAATCTCACCCTTCTTTCATTTTTATTTGTAATTCCGCTTACTGGACCGCTCTCTCTTCTTTTATAATCACACAGCCTTAATTAATTCAAATCTCCCAATACATGATCTCTCCACACCATTGACCTTCTCCTTCGTCCCCTCTTTTACCCGTTCTTTCCTCTCAGCAGATTTCCTCCCCTTCTCCCGACCACTAAAAACCCAATCTTGATCCAAGCCCCACTCATATCCAATGCCCTTCTTCTTCCTCTAGCTCCGGCCATGTCTTCAGAGCGGCACCTACTTGATCTATCCCCTCGCCCCCCAAATCCTGCCCCCGATATACTCAAACCCATCCCTTCCTCCCGTAGCTCCAGACGTTCCCGGGGCTCCCGCGGTTCCCTCGACCGCATCAACTTCGCTCCTCCACCATCTGTCATTCGTTACGGCTCCCGTGCTGAATCTGATCGCTTAAACGCCTCGCAGAAAGATATCCCTGACGAGGACGCTCGCCTCGTTAGTATCAACGACCCAACAAGCACCAACGAGCGCTTCGAGTTCTCCGGCAACTCCATCCGCACCGCCAAGTACTCCATCCTCACCTTCCTCCCGCGCAACCTCTTCGAGCAGTTCCACCGGGTTGCTTACATCTACTTCCTCGTCATCGCCATCCTCAACCAGCTCCCTCAGCTTGCTGTCTTCGGTCGCGGGGCTTCCATCCTCCCCCTCGCTTTCGTTCTCTTCGTCACCGCCGTGAAAGACGCCTATGAAGACTATCGCCGCCACCGTTCTGACCGCATCGAAAACAACCGCACGGCCCTAGTCTTCTCCGCCGGCGACTTCCGCCCTAAAAGATGGAAAGATATCCGCGTCGGGGAGATCATTAAGGTCCAATCGAACAACACCCTCCCCTGCGACATTGTCCTCCTATCCACCAGCGATCCCACCGGCGTCGCCTATGTCCAGACGATAAATCTCGACGGGGAGTCTAACCTCAAGACTCGTTATGCGAAGCAAGAGACACTTCTTCGAGCTCCGGAGAAACAAGGGCTCTCTGGATTGATCCGTTGCGAAAACCCTAATCGGAACATCTATGGCTTCTATGCCAATATGGATATTGATGGCAAGCGAGTTTCTCTTGGGCCCTCGAATATAGTCCTTCGGGGTTGTGAGCTGAAGAACACATCTTGGGCTGTTGGGGTTGTTGTTTATGCTGGTAGAGAGACGAAAGTGATGCTTAACAGCTCGGGATCTCCATCCAAGCGGAGCCGGCTAGAGACTCATATGAACAGGGAGACCTTGCTCCTATCTGGAGTTCTGATTGTGCTATGTATTTTGGTGGCTGTTTTTACTGGTGTATGGTTGGCAATTCATAAGAGTGAATTGGAGTTTGCTCAGTTTTTCAGGAAGAAGAATTACTCCAACTCCGCGGGACGCAATTATAATTACTATGGTATAGGGATGGAGGTGTTCATTAGGTTCCTCATGGCGGTGATCGTGTTTCAGATCATGATCCCTATTTCTCTGTATATTTCAATGGAGCTTGTACGTCTCGGACAAGCCTACTTTATGATTCAGGATTCTAATTTATACGATAAGACATCACAATCGCGATTCCAGTGTCGGGCTTTGAACATAAATGAGGATTTGGGGCAGATAAAGTATGTGTTTTCAGACAAAACAGGAACTTTGACAGAGAATAAAATGGAGTTCCAGTGTGCCAGTATCAGTGGAACTGATTACAGCAATGGGAATTCTTCGTCTCCTGGTGATTCGGGAGTCTATTCTGTAATAGGTTTGTGTTCTTCATACCCATTTTTTCAGAGTCGATTTCTGTGAATTATGTTCGATGGCATCTTTACTTTACTTGGTTTGGTTTTGTAACAGTTGGGGATCAGTATTGGAGGCCAAAGATGACGGTAAAAACTGATCCTGAGCTCTTGAGGTTGTTGAGAAACGAAAGGAATACAGAGCAAGGAAGAAATGCCATTAATTTCTTCCTTGCTCTGTCTGCCTGCAATACTATAGTGCCCTTGGTTGTGGATACACCAGATCCCGCGCAGAAGTTGATAGATTATCAAGGGGAGTCTCCTGACGAACAAGCGCTGGTGTATGCAGCAGCTGCGTATGGCTTTGTGCTAATTGAACGAACTTCTGGGCATATAGTCATAGATGTTCTTGGAGATAGACAGAGGTATTGAGAGATACTTTTGTTGTCATTTGAACCTCTTTCTAGTTTTATTTTTGTGGTGTAGCTATTATCTTTAAAAAATGTGGTTTGCTTCTTTCATTAGTGTTAGTATTGGTTAGGGGGTGTAAAAGAGTTGAGTTTGAGTGAGCCTAGTGCTTCGTTAGAATATTTTTTCCAAAAAGGCTCGTGAATAACATGTTACTATTCGGCTTGATTTGAATTAGTGTGTTCATTTCAACCTGTGTTCTGCTCAAAATTAGTTCAAATGATTTTAAAATAAATAAGTGTACTTTTAAAAAAACAAAAAAAAAACCAATATAAATACATTATAATAGTATTATTTTTTTAATTATTTAGTTAATTGAAGCCAAACACAATTGAGCAAAATTTTCCTCATTTTCAGCTTGTTTGTAAATCGAGCTAAAATTATTCTGGTTTGCCTCCCCGAACAAGTCAAAAACGATCTACTTACCAAGTTGAATGCGAGCTATACTTATGAACAACAAACTTCTCTGACATCCCTAGTTTTGGTATCCTAGCCCATTTCCCCTTTTTTAATGTTATATTGTCAAAATTATGACTTGTTGGGAGTAGAAGCTTTTTGTTTGTGACTTAGAACTCTATTGACTTAGAAAATTTTTTGGATGATTTGTGGTGAAAGCAGGTCTAATTATTAGGTGCGGAGATACGTGCAACCCAAACTTATGTTTTAGGGTTAGTTTTATTAGGGCTTTATAAAAGTAGTCTAGGGTATACCATGTAAATTTTGATGCTGATTTGTGTTTGTGTTTGTCTCTTAATTATTATTCTTACCAATCATTGCTTCCCATCATACTCGTTATAATTTAGTTTTAATGAATTCAATGTCATGGTACATGCAGGTTTGACATATTGGGTCTTCACGAGTTTGACAGCGAGAGAAAGAGAATGTCAGTTATCGTTGGCTTTCCTGATAAAACAGTGAAGATTTTTGTTAAAGGTGCTGACAGCTCAATGTTTAGCATCATGGAAAAAACATTGAATGCAAACATAATTCGAACGACGGAATCACACCTCAAATCATACTCATCTGTGGGTCTGAGAACATTGGTGATTGGCATGCGAGCGATGAATACGACGGAATTTGAGGAATGGCATTCTTCCTACGAGAAAGCAAGCACAGCATTGTTTGGCAGGGGAAGCTTACTCAAAGCAGTTGCAGCCAACATAGAAAGCAATCTCACCATTTTAGGGGCCTCTGGAATTGAAGATAAGCTTCAGGACGGTGTACCTGAAGCCATAGAATCTTTGAGGCAGGCTGGGATCAAGGTCTGGGTGTTGACAGGCGACAAGCAAGAGACGGCTATTTCCATTGGATATTCTTGTAAACTTCTGACTGGAGATATGAACCAGTTTATAATAAACAGCAATTCAAAGGAGTCATGTAAAAAGAGTTTAGAGGAAGCCCTCTCCACAGCCACCAAAGTTTCAACCATGCCTCTAGCAGGATTAGGTGGTGGAAGGACCCCTCTTGCTCTGATTATTGATGGGAAAAGTCTCCTCTACATTCTTGAGACAGAATTAGAAGATGAGGTATGATATCATGAAACATCAGTCTTTTTTGAAACAATTTGTTTTGAGTTTTAACCACTTGTCCACATCATAAAACAAATTTGTTCGTTCACGTTTATTTGATGCAGCTTTTCAAAGTAGCGACATTGTGCGACGTTGTTTTGTGCTGCCGAGTGGCTCCGTTGCAGAAGGCTGGGATTGTTGCTCTAATCAAGAAGAGAACAGATGATATGACTCTTGCAATTGGTGATGGTAATTATATGAACTTAATTCTTTGTTTTGAAATTATGACAATTATATTCATGAACTGTGTGGTTTATATGAGTTTATTGGTCCGGGATTTTAATATCCATGTGCCATGCAGGTGCGAACGATGTCTCGATGATTCAGATGGCTGATGTTGGGATAGGAATCAGTGGGCAAGAGGGTCGACAGGCAGTGATGGCCTCAGACTTCGCAATGGGCCAGTTTAGATTCTTAGTTCCCCTCTTATTGGTTCATGGCCACTGGAATTACCAAAGAATGGCATATATGATATTGTACAATTTCTACAGGAATTCGATTTTCGTATTTGTACTTTTCTGGTAAGGAGCTTCGTTTTGCTTATAATTTTCCTCTCAATTTCATTGATTATGGTTTATATTAGCCTTTTATTTTTTTTAAATTACAATAGCATGCCGAGTCATTATAATTTTTTTATCAATGTTTTGTTTCAAGGTTTATCATTAATCTATGTTTGCATACTCTAACTTGAGTTTTTACTTTGTGAATTATTCACCTGACTCCAAATTATGGTTTGATAATTAGTTTGGTTAGGCTTAGCTCTCTACGTTTACTTTGAGGGGCATTTACATACATACCACTCAATTCCTATGAGTTTACATGTCTAGCACCTTAATTTTAATTTCTGAATTTACATCACCCAAATCTTTCATACCACATAAAAAATACCACCATTTTAACTTTTAAAAAGCTAATACACTTTTTCATGCATAGGTAAGGTGGTATGCAAAAATTGAAGTTTTGGTGTTAGATATGTAAATACAAAAGATCTGGGTGGTATGTTTGTAAATCTTACTTGCACATTTATCCACGACATACTGGTTGAGGGTGTAGTCGCCCACTATGAGTTCGCAGGTTCAAATCGTTCATATTGCCCTTGGGGCTTGTTGTGGAACTGAGAAGAATCCCCTTCCAAATTCACCACGAAATAGGATCGTGTAGATTCGAGAAAACTGGAACAAACTTATGAACAAAAGCACAACAAATCAAACTAGAAAAACATGAGAATTTAACTTAGAAAAACCCAAGAATGGGAAAAAAACACGGAGCTACATCACCAAAATAATCCCACTAGTAAAATTAGAGATTTTACAGAGAACATTTTCAATTCTCTCCACACTCAAGCAAATTTGCAAGATCTCGCTCTAACTATTCCTTCTCCAAGCAGACGCGAGAAACACACATCAAAATATCGAAATACTTCTCCTGTACTTCTCACGTTCACCGTGATTTTTTCGAAGAACAACACAAAAGAAAACTTACTGTCCTTAAAACCCTTGATATCTATTTTGGGCGCATAAGCGCTTGAAATTAGGCATATTAGCGCCAGCAGCTCAGGAAGAAAAGACACGCCTAGGATGCAGGCGCATAAGTGAGCGCTGAATAATCTAAGCGCCCATAGGGGGGCACTCAAGTGCCCCACTCAGCTGCTCCAGAGAGAAGGGAGCAAGAGCACTCCAATCATGGCGCATAGGCTCCGACCACTCGGTCTGTGAACTTTTGGGTGATCGATATCAGACTTTACACTATAACAATCTCTCACTTTGAGACTGATAACAACCAACACCTATTCTCCATTTCTGCACCTCCATCTGTACCACCATCATAGTCATGTATCGTGTTGTGGCTCACCCGCAGTCTCAATCTTTATTGAGCCCAACTGACCCAAGCATATGATCAATTTCTCAACAATCACCACCTTCGTCAATATGTTCGCAGGATTCTGAGCTATATATATCTTCTTTAGGAACAACTACCCATCTTTTAGGAGAGAATGAATAAAATAATGCATCATCTGAATGTGTTTTTGTCCTGACATGGAAAGCAACATTCTTCACAAGATGAATCCCACCATACTGTCCGTATAAAACATTTCAATCCCTTTTTCCTTGCCCAATTCTGCCATGAAACTCTGTAGCTAAATCTTCTCTTTACTAGCCTCAGAGATAACAATTTATTCGGCCTCTGTAGTTATAGGTGTAACGATCTTCTACAACCTGAAAATCTAACTCACCGTTGTGTTCCCCAATGTGAAGATATACCCCATCGTACTTCTTATATCCAAATCTCTTGCCATATCTGAATCTACAAATTATGTAGACCGATCTCAGCACTTTCATAATAAAGTGTCATGTTGACTATCTTCACTGCCTCCCGATGTGTCTGTTTGGATTGCTCATGTACATGCTGACTACTCCCACTGTGTATGAAATATCTGGTCTGATGCAAATCATCGCGTACATCAAATTTCCAACTATAAAAGCATACAAAGTTTTCACCATCTTTACTTGCTCTACTTCAGAGTTAGACGTTAGCTCTTTAGATAGTTTGAAGGCCTACGTAAATGGTGCAAACTGATTTTTGCCTCTCCCATGTTGAACATCTATAAGATTTTCTTAACATGCTCTGCCTGAAACAATTTCAATGTTCTTTCATTTCTGTCTCTGTTGATTCTCATCCCGAGTATCTTCCTGGTTGGATTTAAATCTTTTATCTCGAGCTCACTTGATAATTATTTTTTCTAGTATCTGATTTTCTTCATATCTGCCCCTGCAATCAGCATGTCATTCACATACAAAAGAAGCAAGATATAAAAATTACCGAAGTGTTTCATGAAACAACAATGGTCTGCTTGACCTTTCATATACCCACTGTCGAAAGTGAACTTGTCAAACCTCGTGTACCTTTGTCTCGGGGCCTGCATCGAGCAATATAGGCTTTTCTTCAATCAGCAGTCCAAACCTTCTTGGTCTGGAACATTGTAACCTTGTGATTGCATCATGTATAGTTCTTCATGTAGATCTCAATGTAAGAAAGTTGTTTTTACATCTATCTTCTCAAGATGTAGATCTTTATCTGCTACCAGACTCATTACAACCTTGATAGTTGTCATCTTGACAATTGGGAAAAAGATCTCTGTATAATCCACTCATTCCTTCTGCTGGAAACCCTTCACAACAAGTCGTTTCTTGTACGCCATCATCTGACTCATTTTTCAGTTTATAGTCTCACTTGTTATGTAGTGCTCTTTTCATTTGGTAAAATCACAAGTCTGATTTGACTTTAAGACTGCATTTCTTTATCCATGACATGCTCCCACTCTCTCGAATCTTCAGCTTGAGTGGCCTCCTTAAAGCACTCTAGATCACCATTATCAGTTAATAACAAATAGAGTAAAGAAGGAGAAAATTTGTGTACGATTCGTATCACTTTGTTGGATCTTCTGACTTCTATAGCAGGTGTTTAAGAAACTTCGAGTGCTCCTTACAGTTGAGCACTACCTTTTCTACTTTTCTGATAATCAGTGTCTTCGATCTCAACATATTTGGACACTTCAGATGTATCTCATAGGTTATCTCGGGGTCCATGTCCTTATATATCTCTATTTCATTAAAGATTGCATCTCTGCTCCTGATGAATTTCTAATTCTAATAATCCTAGAACCTATACCCAATTTCATTTGAACCATATCTAATGAGGATACACTTGACATATTCGGAGTCAAGCTTGTCCTGGACCCTGCATCAACATGCACATATTTAAAATACCCAAATACTCTTAAATGAGATAGATTTACCTTTTTGTTACTCCGGGCTTCTTCAGGTAAGTTTTCCCCCAAAGCTTCTGATGGACCGCAGTTTATCAGATAAACTGCAGTATTTACAACTTTAGTTCAAAATTGTTTTAGTAAGCTTACATGTAGCCTCATGCTCCTAGCAGTCTCCATGATTATTTTGTTCATGTGCTCCGTCGTACCATTCTGCCGTGATATCCTGGGGACATGAACTACCCCCTCGATAGCACATAAATTCTTGAACTTCAACTTTAAGTCTGTTTAATTCTCTACCTTAGTCTTCTACTTATTAAGGACTTCAATGCATCAAATTTTTTGCTTTATGAAATAAACTCAAAATTTCTCGTTTAATCATTAATAAATGTGACAAAATAACGAGAACCTCCAATGGACTCAATTGGAATATGACCCCATATGCCAATATGCACTAGCTCTAGTTTTTTTTTTATTTTACCATTGACCCACTCTTTTAGAAAGAGATTTTCTTTTGTTTATCATATATGCAGTTTTCACAGAAATCCAAACTGATTTCAAATCCTAAAACTTATTTTTAGGAAGTAGGGTTTACATACATTTCTCGCTTATATGACCAATCCTACAGTGGTGTAGATCTGCATCCACTCTTGTTCCAACCACATTAATGAAGTCTGTCATTTCATTGATCAAGTAAAGAGTACTTTCAATGATGCCTCGAGCCATCATCAGTGCCCCTGATCACCGTTGGCTAATCACTCATGAAAGTAGTCACGAATCTCAACTTTGTCAGCTGACTCAAAGAAATGAGATTTTTCTTCAGACTTGGAACATGTCTAACTTTTTTAAGTTTTTATATTGTTTCATTCGACAACCTATTATCAACATCACTCTTTCTTTCGGTACCGCATGCCTTATTATCTTCCAGATAAATCTTTCCTAGATCATTTTAAGTGTAGTTTTTAAACATCTCTTTATTGCGACATGCATAAAAAAAGACACTTGATTTAGTTCTGAATAGGGATAACACCAGGGAGTCATTTGGATTTCACCATTGGAGATATTCACATAGAGATTCTTTTATGTTCTCCATCACCAGCTGTTCTTTGAGCTTTGCAGTCCTTTCTCACCGCAATTTCAACATTCTCTTCCATTTGACTTGAATGTTCCTCCCTTGAACTTGGATCTGTCTCTACCTGTATTCCTGTCCAGAATCCTTTCTCTGTTATCAACATTCAATGTAAAACCTGAAGATTCACCATTAGTTTTTTTTCTGTGAACTTCTTCATCAACATCAGACCCACAATTTCATCGAAGTTCAACTTCTAATTCCCTAAAAATTACTCTCCGCCGTGATTAAGCATCTCAACTGTCCGACAATGAAGACAGTATCACTTGTTCTTGTTATGGTGGAGCCTCGCTAAAGCAACTGTTCACGCCTCTTCCTAAGTAACGGGTCCCGCCATTTTTTAATTGCTTTGCCAGAATAAGATAAAAAGGCTCCAGCAGCAGTTATTATTATTACTCCTTCACGGTTTTCTTGGTAGCAAGGGCTGGCTTACGCGAAAAGGCAAAAAAAAGGCAATTTTACGGTTTGAAAAATTAATTGAAGAAAACGGTGTTCTCTCCTGTAACCGTTTCGTGAGAGAGGAAGGCAGGGAAGGGGTAGACCGAGGCTTCCTTTTGTCTTGGATTTTCGATCAACTGCTACAGGTCAAAGGTATTCGAGAGACATTTCTCCGGGGCTTCTGCATG